TGATAATTGAATTTCCTTTTATACTGAATGTTTTGTATCTGTAATAAAGTGTGATATTTGGTGTTCAGTGGATGCATACTGGATGCAAGATTTTTTATGTGCATCGAAACATTGAAAGGGGCAGCAACATTTTGTTTGAAGTATGCAGTCTTTGAGTATTTTGTTTATTTTTTGTTTATATTTCACTTAAAATGCAAAAATGTAAAAAATTTTAAACAGAAAATCAGTTGAATATTGATCTTCAATTTTCAACTCGTTATACAAGTGGGGAAGACAATAGAGCATGGAAGGAAAAGTGATAATACAGGATTAGGAATTGGCAATACCCTGGCTTTGATTTGCGGGGTGGTGGGGGGGCTGCTGTTTGGGCGTAGGGGGAGACAGTCAACTGTGAGATCAGGCATATTTACTCGATGTGCCTGGCGTTGGGAAGAGAGTCAGAAAATGAAGGTTTAGATAGACAGGTTGGCTATGCATACTGAATATTTAAAATCTGATTGGGTTGATGGTGAGGGATACCATCAAATTCACATGATCAGTTTAAACAGAATCAGCATACCTAAATGGCTGCTTCCCTTTAATTTGTGATTATAGCTCTTAATATTACTTACAATAGAATGTAAAATCCCACATTGCCACTGTCTAAACTTCAACATACTGTGCATAATGGAGGAGGAGAAGACAAATAATAGCTTCCAAGTGCATGATCAACAAAGTTTGAATGAGATTAGCTAGGTTTAGTTCATATTATTGTAAAGTCTGAGTTTTTCCAGTTCCACAATCTCTGAAGAAATCTCAGAAATTCAGTTTTTGGGAAGATATTTGAAATAGATTTCCCCATGGACAGCTTATTTATTGATTCTGGGAAAGTAAATAAATTTTACTTTCTTACACATTTGCAAACAGGTAAATAAATAGATTTAATCCCTTTAGGCACCTGTATGGAATCCAAGAATCCCGGAAAAGTTGAAGTCGATGTAAAACAAGAAAAACTCTAATTGGTGGGCGGCATACCTAGCAAAATACGAATGGTTGTCATTTTTTGAGGCCTATCATCTCAGTCCCAGCCATCATTGTAGAAATTTCACAGGGTATAGTGTGCTTGGCTGAACCCTCTTCAACTGCCTTCCCCTCCATTGCCAGGTCAGAATGTCGGGGGTGTTCATTGATAATTGTACAATGCTCCATGCCATTCTCAGTTCTTCAAATAGTGAAGCAGTCCGTGACCATGTGCAAAAGCTTCTTGCTCATTGTCACTTATGGGCTGATAAATGGCATGTTTCAGTTGACTACACTTAAGGGAGACAATGACCATTTTCAGCCAAATTCTTAATGTTCAGTGGCTTTGCCATCACTGAATCTCCCTCACTATCAACATCCTAGAGACTGGCAAAAACTGGATGTTAATTGGACCAACTTCACAGGATGGGAATTCTGTGGCAAGCAACTGACTTCCTGATTCCCCTAGAATTTGCCGTGCACAAGTCAATGTGTGATGGAATCTTCTCCACTGCCTGGATGTATACAGCACCATCCAAGACAAAAGCAGCCTGTTCGCATTATCAGTGTCTTGTCCACTTGAATGTTGACTTCCTCTGCCACCAGTGCATAATGGCAGTGCTATGTACTACATGTAAGGTACACTGCAGCAACTTACCAAGCGTCCTTCAATAGCATCTTCCAAATCCAGGATCTCTACCATGTTGAAGGATAGGGCAGCAGACGCATGAAAACATACACCTCCAAGCCTCTCACTGTGTCTGGCTTGGGACTATATTGCCCTGTTGCTGTGTCAAAAAGATGTAACTCTACCCCTACCACATGGACGCTGTTAGTTCATACTAGGGGTGGAAAACATGGCCTCACGTGAATGAATAAACAAAAGGCATTAAGCCTAAATAAGTGTGTGAATAATAAAACTATGCATCTGATAGGGTTGGCCATTCTTTACTTAGTGTCAAGCTGTTTAGGGTATATTTTTTCAAGACAAGGGCACAAAATGCATAGAATGACAATGATTCAAGAATGTCACTCACCATCATTCCTCGAGGGCAATTAGTCTGAGGCTAAAAATGCTGCTCTTGGTACCATGTTCTCACCAGCAGTATCAAATGTTGAGATTTTTTACTGATTTGTAGTAAGTGGGCAAAAGTCTAGTCCCACGTTACCAATATTTACTGCAAAATGGTTTGATTCATGAAACCTTCTGCAAATGTGAGCAATGGTACATGTCCCTGCAGACTTTAATTAACAAAAGCTGCTTGAAGTTTTATAGTTGTACTAACTTGTATAATGCTCCTTTGAAAGCATGTTTCATTACATACACTATGTACATAAAAGATGTTATTGTTGTTGATTTCTAATTATAAAATTATGAATAAAAATATAGTTGATATAAATAATTGGGAGCTATTAAGTTATAAAATTCCACTGTAAATTCTTCCCACCAATCTCCTCCTCCATTCACCAGTTTTCTCACTGGTTCAGCTCTATTGTTTGCTTACCTGATTTATGAGATTAGTTGAGTATACAGTACACACTTAACATCAAGGTAACTTCATAAAAAATTGGACTTTTGTGCTCAGCTTCATAAGTTTTAAATGGAAAACCCCCACAAATTCAATAAAAACCGAAAGAACTGTGGATGCTGTAAATCAGGAACAAAAACAAAGTTGCTGGAAAAGCTCAGCAGGTCTGGCAGTATCTGTGAAGGGCGGAAGTGCAGGAGATAGGTCAGACCCGGTTAAGAGCCCTGTCGACCACGGAGCTGGGGAATCCTCGGTTATCCCCAGAAACGGCAACAGAAATGTCGAGGAAGGGAAGCGAGGAGTCAGAGATAGACCAGGTGAAAGTTTCACCTGGGGATAGACTGGCCACTAACATCCACTAGAAACCCATTGACTCCCACAGCTACCTGGACTATACATCCTCACACCCTACTTCCTGTAAAGACTCCATCCCATTCTCTCAGTTCCTCTGTCTCCGCCGTATATGTTCAGATGAGGCCAACTTCGACAAGGGAGCCTCCAAAATATCCACCTTCTTCCTCAACCGAGGATTCCCCAGCTCCATTGTCGACAGGGCCCTTAACCGGGTCCGACCCATCTCCTGCACTTCCGCCTGCACCCCTTCTCTTCCCTCCCGCAACAGCGATAGGGTTCCCCTTATCCTTACCTACCATCCCACCAGCATCCATAGTCAGAAGATCATCAGGCACCATTTCCACCACCTCCAGTGAGATTCCACCACCGGACACACATTCCCCTTCCCTCCCTTGTCTGCCTTCCTCAGGGACCGTTCCCTCCGGGACACCCTGGTCCACACTTCCTTCACCCCCAACACCCCCCCACAGCCCTACGGCACCTTCCCCTGTAACCGGCGAAGGTGCAACACGTGCCCATTTACCTCCCCCCTCCCCAGTATCCAAGGGCCCAAACATACCTTCCAGGTGAAGCAACACTTCGCCTGTACTTCCCAGAATCTAGTCTACTGCATTTGCTGCTCACAATGTGTTCTCCTCTACACTGGGGAGAAGAAGAGTAGACTAGGCGACCACTTCACAGTGGTCACAAAAAAGACCCTGAACTACCGTTGCCTGCCACTTTAATTCACCACCCTGTTTCCTGACCAACATCTCTGTCTCTGGCTTGCTGCAGAGTTCTAGCAAAGCTCAACGCAAGCTAGAAGAACACCACCTCAATTTCCGCTTGGGGACCCTGCAGCCCTTCGGACTCAGTATCGAGTTCAATAATTTTAGGGCCTAAACTCTCCCGTGTCCCAGTCCCCTGTCCTACACACCAGGCTTTGTTACCACATAGCCTGCCATTACTCACTACCTGTTATTAGTCACTAATAGTCCCCATTAACAACTGTTCACCCTCCCAGCCATTGTTGTCAACTTTTTGTCTGTCCAATTGCTCTTCTCTCTCTTTAGGCTCTATCCTATCGTTTACTCCCTACTCCATACCCCTCCCCCTTTTTTCTGCATATAAACTGACATTTTCCCAGCCACCATCAATTCTGAGAAAGGGTCACCGGACCCGAAACGGTAACTCTGTTTTTTCCTTCACAGATGCTGCCAGACCTGCTGAGCTTTTCCAGCAACTTTGTTTTTGTTCCTCACAAATTCAAGTTTGTTGTGCTACTTTTAAAATAAAGAATTTCTGTAGACATGTGCCAAGTTCTACAAATTCAATATAAAAGGCAGACGTTCATTGACTAGACCATTGAGATGGAAAAGGTTAGGAAGTACGGTGGGATGTTATCATAGAGGGATATGTAAACCAGGACAAAAATTTGTAATTTAGTATATTGGGAAACAGGAAACCTCTGGAGATTGCTATTGTCAGGGATTTACAGTTTGCAAACACTGTGAATGCCCAATAAAAACCGAAAGAACTGCGGATGCTGTAAATCAGGAACATAAACAAAGTTGCTAGAAAGGCGCAGCAGGTCTGGTAGCATCTGTGAAGGAAAAAATAGAGTTAACATTTCAGGTCCGGTGACCCTTCTTCAGAACTCAGTTTTGGGTCTGGTGACCCTTCCTCCGTTCTAAGTTAATGTTTCAAGTCCAGTGACCCAAAACTGAGTTCTGAGGAAGGGTCACCGGACTCGAAACATTAACTCTGTGTTTTTTCCTTCACAGATGGAAAGACCAGACCTGCTGGGCTTTTCCAGCAACTTTGTTTTTGTTGTGACTGTGAATGCCCAGTCTTACACTCAATCACAGAAAGCTCCAGTGAATTAGACACTTAAGTTATAATTCTTCTTTGTCTTCTAAATACTGAATTTGAATCAATTAGATGATGCAAGTATGATGCCTAATGTTGAGAAAAATGTGTGTCTTCATAAGAGATTTCGCATAAGGGCAGAGATGCATTTGTGTTACAGCAAACTTTAAAAAGCTAAATGGCAAATGCTGGATCATTACCATGTAAATTTTGAAGTTATTTCAATGAAAACATAATCATATATGGATGCATTTGATTATTTTCTTGTAGCTGTTTCCTGTCATTACTCTTGGTGGCTGCTGTTGTGTGGAAAATCAAACAAACTTGCTGGGCTTCGCGAAGGAGAGAGGTAGGAGAGAGCGGTGTTACTTATAATCCAATTCAATCTGGTATTGATTGTTTATTTTATTTAGCTAATGTTCTTCCAAATTGTCTGGATATCCTACCTTTATTCCTGTCCAAAAAGGACAAGCAAAATGTTGCCAATTTATTCTTCTTTTGCCAGTATTCAAACCACGTAATGGATGATATTGAGAACTTGCAGATGATTCCAGTACTTTGGAAGTGATTTGCTTTTTGCAATTATTTTGCATAGCACAGTTCATGTGGATAATTTCATCTCCACAACAAGGTACAATAATTTCCTGAGAAACTATGATGGAGTATTTATGGCTATTGTGATCTGTACGTTTGGTCTCTGGGCTGAAATTGGTTAAGTATCAGTTTTGGCGAGTTTTATGGAAAGTTACTGCCCACAATGTCTTGTATTATCTTCCCAGACTCACTTCATTAACTATGCACCATGACCCTACAGTGCCCCACTCAATACTGACCACTGCCAGATATTCAGGGGATTCCTGGTGCTGGTGCCATCTTTAAAGCCCAGCCGTGCTCCCTTTCATGCACTGGCAATGTGCAGCTGCCCTGGATAGTTTATTTTATTTGGCCCAGATGTGTTAGACTGTAGGTAAATTGTGTGAGGCGGGGGGAGGAGGCAGTCATGGTGTTAGGAGTCTATGTGGTCAGTGCCAATGGAGTGGTCCCTGAGATGTTGATGACTGATAAGGGTTGGAGGAGCAAGTGACAAGCTAGAATCACCAGGTTCCTGTTCTGACACTCACATCTGGAACTGACTAATTTCTGTACAGCGAGAGAATGAGAAACTGTGTGTAAGTGAGGCAAGATCATAGAATCTCTACAGTGTGGAAAACAGGCCATTCAGCCCATCGAGTCTGTATCAACCCTCTGAAGAGCATCCCACCCAGACCCAGACCTCCCCCATAAATGTGAATCCACATAGCCTGCAAATCCCTGGACACTGTGAGGCAATTTAACATGACTGATCCACCTAACCTGCACATATTTGGTCTGTGAGAGGTAACCGGAGCACCTGGCAAAATCCTATGCAGACATGGAGATACTGTGCAAACTCCACACAATCGTCTAAGGCTGAAATTGAATCTGGGTCCCTGGTGCTCTGGGGCAGCAGTGCTAACCTCTGAGCCACCATGCTGCCTGATGATGTAATAAAGATAATGTTAATGCATGACTATGCATACAAATGCATGCAAATAGGCCTCTTGCCACTCAACAGTGTGAATATTTGGTGGGGAAACAGGACTTTTTGCTCTCAACAGCAGGAAGCTCTTCACTCCTAGTATCTCAAAATTCTCCCAACTTTCTCACTGGTGCTGATATCATTCAGTGGTTGAGAAGATTCCACCGCATATTAATCTGTTTTCAACTTAGTTTTACTTGGCATCTGTACCTCAGAAACTAGTTTTGTTTGCAGGTGAAAACAGCAAAATAAGAGAAAATTATAATGAATTTTTTTTAGGCTTGTTTTTTAGGCAACCATTTGATCATATCAACAAATGCAGCTATTGCAAAAATAATAGTTGCAGTCGGCCCTATTATTCAGCTTTCTGCCAGCTGTAAAATATTTTAAGTATCACAGAGTTTTAAATCTCTTGGTCATTTTTTTGAATCTTTTAAGGTGAAATATGTCTCTACTATTATTTAAAGATCCCATCATTTCATCATAAATCACTTTATTGATTTGTTTGCCCTGTGTTTAACATATTTGTCAGAACTTATGCAGTTGTTGGTGTGCATATGTGTGTATATCACTGAAATGTGGGTTTTAGTTTTAGTATTGTAATAATCTTCTGTGAAATAATTTGTTTACTTTGAAATAAAAATTTTCAAGAATGATAAATTGCCCTTCCTGAAGATTGGCATTTTAGAATTATTGCTGGGATTTTATTTGTTATTTGTTCATTACAGGTTAAAATATAACTTGTCATCAGTTTCCTGCTGTTTCTTTGCCCTGCTTCAACTTTACGTTGTTATTGATCCGCTATCTAGAGTCACATAGATAATACAGCAAACGTTGTTTTAACCGGCACCTTAATCAACCGGCACTCTTGATGAACTGGCAAAAAAAAGCCCTGAAATACCGTGATCTACTGCGATATCTGAGTATTATGCTGTTAATATATATAACAGTTATGTGTATATGCCAGATTTTTTGAGAGATGTTAATGTCTTGCAGCTCTGCTTGATAAGGGTTTAGTGTGGCATACCTCTTGATTTAATCTGTGAATATCGAACAAGCTGTGCTAATATATCCCTTTTCTAAATACAGTCATTTGATTATTTGAGATAAAATACAAACTTGTCCCTCACTCTTTCTTTTTAAATACCTAATGGTTCATGAATAAATCTCTCCTTGTCTTTGCAGTCTTGATGCAGTATGTTTTCATCTATTATCTAGATTTCCCTTTCTGTTTTGGTTGTACTTTTTGACCAATCAACTCAGTTTCCTGCTGTTTCTTTGCCCTGCTTCAACTTTACATTGTTATTGATCCGCTATCTAGAGTCACATCGATAATACAGCAAACGTTGTTTTAACCGGCACCTTAATCAACCAGCACTCTTGATGAACTGGCCAAAAAAACCCTGAAATACCGTGATCTACTGCGATATCTGAGTATTATGCTGTTAATAAGGTGTAACAGTTATGTGTATATGCCAGATTTTTTGAGAGATGTTAATGTCTTGCAGCTCTGCTTGATAAGGGTTTACAGTGGCATACCTCTTGATTATCCAGAATATTTGATTAACCGGCACACTCGTCGCATAGCTCCCAGTTAATAAAAAATGTATCGACCAAATTTTCTGCTTGTGCTTTTGTGGGAAAGGATCATTTTCATCAAAATTGCTATGGAATCAGTTGCTCTCATGTTATAATGCCAGCTTTCAGGCACAAATTTTCTGCAGATACACAAAATTTATTCTCCTTCTTGGAGAGAAAGAAATTTAATTGTGCGCCTTGGAGTCAAATATCTGTTTTTTTTTGATTCCATACAACCATAATTTGAAAATATGGCTGCTGAGGAGTGGACAGCAGCAAACAAGAAGCTGAATGAGCTGTTTTTTAGGATCTAGAAGGAGATCAAAAGATGAATACTTTAACTGAGACACTCCAGAAATTTAGCAACATAACTTAGGTTGGCATTTCAGTACAGTACTAAGAGTATTGCACCTTTCAAATAAAATATTCGGCAGGGATCATTTTTCTCCCCCTCTGGTAGATGTAAAATATTACATTTTGCAGAGGAGCTATGCGACAACGAGTGTGCCGGTTAATCAAATATTCTGGATAATCAAGAGGTATGCCACAGTAAACCCTTGTCAAGCAGAGCTGCAAGACATTAACATCTCTCAAAAAATGTGGCATATACACATAACTGTTATACTTTATTAACAGCATAATACTCGGATATCGCAATAGATGTAGAGATGCAGAGGAGCCTTATTGGTGTTTCAGCAAGCCTTAGTCCTCAAGCAGAGCAAATAAAAGATGTATCACAATTGGATTAAAGAAATATATTTACTGACTATTTTGAAAACATTCTAAACAGTCCACCAAAAGTGGCTGCTTTAATCACATGACTGGACAGTAACCTCCAGGTGCCTTCCAAAGGTAAACATCAACCAGGTATTTAACATTTCATGTATAGTACTGGAATTGTATAATACTGGAATACTGCATATTGTATCATAAACTGCTACAGACCCTATTGTCTCCAAGACACAAAATAAGAACCCTGCACAATAGAATTGTAAATTACCCCGATCCTGTAGGAAGATATGTTAATGAATGTCTGCGTAACTTCTGAGAAGGGATATAGAGAGTAATTTCCCTGCAATGTAAACCTTTGTCTCGGTAGTTGCCTTCCCTGACCCTTCCAAGGAGGCTTGATCACATGATTCCCACAGTACTAACCTGAGTTGCCTTTTAACCATACAATTTTGAAGTAGTGGGCAGTTAAGGGGTCATGTTGCTCCAAACAAATTTCTTGAAGTTATAAGATTTGTAACTCTAGGCCACAAGAGAAAAGTCTCTAAACTGTTTAAAAAAAATCCAACAGTCTTCATTTGTGCTGTGTGCAAATAATCACCAGAAGTTGCATTTTAACAAGAATACTCAAGATAGTCATAGAGTCATACAGTCCTACAGCAGGGAGATAAGCCCTTCAGCCTAAACTAGTCCATGCCAACCAAAATGTCCATCCACGCTCACCCCATTTCCCTGGACTTGGCCCATATCCTTCAGAACCTTTCCTATCCAAGTATTTGTCCAAATGCTTTTTAAATGTTGTTAATGTACCTGCCTCATCCACTTCCGCTGACAGCTCATTCCATTTGCGTACCACCTACTGTGTGAAAAAAAAAGTTTCCCCTCAGGTTCCCATGTATTCTTTCCCCTCTTACCTTAAACTGATGCTCTCTGGTCTTCAATTCCCCAACCTTGGGAAAAAGACTGAGTGCATTCACCCCATCCATGCCTTTCATGATCTTCTACACTTCTTTAAGATCCAACCCCCACCCCTCAGTCTTCTACGCTCTAAAGAAAATGTCCTAGATTGTCCAACCTCTCCCTATGACTCAGTCCCTTAAGTCCTGGCAACATTCTCGTAAATCTCCTCTGCACTCTTTCCAGTTTAATAACATCCTTCCAAAGCAAGGTGACAAAAATGAATACAATACTCCAAGTGCAGCCTCACCAATGTCCCGTACAACTGCAACATAACTTGCCAACTTCTGTACTCAATGCCCTGACAGATGAAGGCCAGTGTGTCAAAAGCCTTCTTCACTGTCCTGTCTACCTGTGACTCCACATTCAGAGAACCGTGCACCTGAACTCCAAGGTTCTACTGTTCCACTACACTGTTTAAGGCCCTACCATTCATCATGAAGCACCTACCTTGATGTGACTTTCCAAAATGCAGCACCTCATACTTACCTATATTAAGCTCCATTTGCCATTTCTCGGCCTTCTTC